CCGAGTACCGGTATATACCGTAATACCTGCACACTTTGAATCGGACGAGTGACCGACGTTGCGGCCGAAAAGGCTCCTCACAGCAATTGTAGGTCCGTTCCCTGTCTCCCTAGGGTCTCCAGAAAGCTTCCAGAAGCCACTGTATCTCCCAGGCATGGGTCCGAAGGACGCCACCCTTTCTTTTAAAATAATCGTAATACGGTAATACCGGTAATTCTTTAACTGCAAAGGTTAAGTCTGGTGACACGACGATTACACTTTTGCCACATACAAGGCACTCCCCTTGTTATCGTCGAGTTGCCAGAAACCCGGGTACTATTTGGGTATCGGTTCGTGGCCTGATTTTTGCCCATTTTCCGGTATTTCCCTTTTCTCCTTGGCTTTCAACACGGTGGCGTAAGGCTAGATCTAGGGATAGCCCCGGGTATGGGACGGAGGAACGGACGCCGTGTGCAAGTGAAGTGTGAAGTGGGTCTGTTTGGCTTACGGTACTGGAGGGGCGAAGAGATAAAATGAGTCTGTGTGCAGAGGAGGGGAATCCCAGTAAAGCATGCTAGTCGATGATCGCGGGAGGGACTGCTCGTGGAAGACTGGGATTGTGGTTGCGATGCTTTCTCGCTCTCGCTAACAGGAGAGGGTGTTGGCGCTACCGGGATGCTTTCTCCAGTGCTATACCAAATTAATCTGATAAGGAGAATGGCCTCTCCGTGAGTTACTTGTTGGTGCGGAGGCAGCTCGGGGTTCCGCCGAGAAGGAAGGAAAACCGTTTGAGTTCCCGGCAATAAGGGAGCAAACGGATTCGGTCTCGGTTAGGGTTATTGTTTCGAATCCTTATCATGATCTAAAGAGCTCATTGCTGTCGCCACTCCAGCGATCAGTGGTTCCATATGTTCTAGGTATGATATTATGTCTACCACCCTCATCCCCGCAAATCTAGGCAGAGAATCACCACAGCCCGCAGCTGGCAGCAAGTCAAAATAACACCATCGCCAGTACCGTATCGGAAATGACGGCGCCGTCTCGGATAGCCCGTCACTTGCCCCTCCACATCGTAGTGACCAGCATTTGGCGGGATATAATATCAGTCTCTCCTTGTGTTGGCCCGAGCAAGGTCAATCCGCTGTGATGCGGAGCCACACAAACCCAAGCGCAATGCATTTCATCTCTCGAGCACTGGGCAGCACCGTAACGGGCAAAGATAACGGGGTATTATAGCTGATCCCAACCACGGCGACTCTTCAGGGAAATACCCGGAACCCATTCTTGGGAAGCGACTTGTAATGCCAGACATGCTGATGCTAGGATTTCTGATCCGAAAAAGCGTACGTTTTGCCCAACAATGTAACCTTTGCGAATCCGTTGTTAAGCACATGTTCGAGTTTGATGGGCGAGATTACTCAGACGGAAGGTGATCCTTGGTTCCCGGTCAAGTCTCATCATTTGCAGGATCGTAGGCGCTGGTCCCTGTATAGGCAAAGAAGCTCGAAGTCCGGTTAAGCCGGGACTACGAGTGGTTTGGTTCTCCAAGCCGAAGCACCAGAACGAGGTTGGGGGAGTACAAGTACAGTATTCGTGTACAGTGCGGTGCCTCGTCACAACACTTTGGATATTACAGTAATTTTTTGGAGGAACAACCCTTCCCGGCCCTCAGGGAGAGGATAAGCTAAGAGCCTTCCTATCATAGTAGTTCCGCGACTTTGAGACACTGGGTTGATTGCTCAACAATCCGGTGATGTGGGGGGCAATCGTGCTGTACGAGTACAATAATACTAGATTAGCTGATACCAGTCAGCTCAAGTCGTACTTCTGCACCAAAGTCGCTCTTACAAATGGTGCGCAAGTACCGTAGACGGAACCAAAAGGAAGTTTACGATTAATTTATCCAAGTATTTTTTTTGCCTACCTACGTAATGTAGCTTGCTACTGGACCCGGTGGGAGTGCACTTTAACCAACCGGGTGCCATGCTATAGGCACCCAAAGTCATTCCAGGTATACAACATTCCCCCACAATTTTACCGGCGCTGGGCACCTGCACATGTACCCAAAGCGGCCGAGAGCTGTGCGAAAGGGAAGGGATTGTAGTGTTTCATGCATATCTCTTTTTTATGTTGGAAATTTTTCGCGGGTAGGATATTTACCGCGGTCGCTGGTAGAGTATGGGCGTGGGGCACCCTTCAGCCTCATTCACCCTCAGGAACGCTGATATTATCGGGGAGTGGAAAGGAACAAACTATCGAGTTCAATCTATCAGAGTGTCGGCCGGCCATTCCATGGATGCCCCCCCCCGTTTTGGAATCAAGTCCTAGTTTTAACGAGTGTCAATTGTAGCTAGTGGGAAAGAGGAATTGTTGTTGGGGCCAAACTGTGAACTGTGAAGCAAATCTTGAGCGGTATTGCTGGTCTCCCCGCTCTATAGCTGCACAGCAGAGTTCAATAACCCCAAACCCTGAGGGTATCATTTTATCGATATATTTTCAATGAGAGGAGGGGTGTGTATGTCGATCGCTCTCGCATAGGACATCTCAACCTCCCGTTTTCTAATTATCCCTCCATATTTTTCTTCCCTCCTCTCGGGCCCGTGGGGGGAGGGAGATATCTTTAACGAGTATGATGTCTCTAAAGCCCCGTTTGCTTGAAGGAGCAACACAACAGAGGGCAAAGTGCAGCACTAGCTTCCGCTAGAACAAATGTGAGATGTTGGTACGGTAAAAGGGCAAACCCGGCGTGATATCAACGCTCAGGTCATCGCAGTCAGCTTGCCGATCACAATCAGATGCCAACTCGGGAACATGTAACAGTAAAAATTCCGGTGAAGGATTGATGGGAGGGGGCGGCAACAACGCCCGTGCCGGTCTATCACTTGTTCACGAAATTCGGGTGGACGAAAAGGGCAGGGGAGGAAACTAATGAAATTTGCCATTGCGAGCTAGTGTACTGTGTATGGCAGTCTCTATTCATCAATCCAGCATGAAATGTGCGGGATAATATCTCGCACAACAACTTCCTCGCTCCCTGAAATCCGAAGAATTAACAACTAATACCGAGAGGTTTAGAGATCGGGTGAGTTATAGTCTAGGGAAGAAGAGTGGGAGTAGCGGTATCATGGAAAGATGAAGGGAGGTAGGGAAGTGAGGGTAGGGGGGCCGGGATGTGGCCCTGAGGATGTGCCGTAAAATCTCTTGAAATCCTCTTATCTCCGTTACCCCCAAAGAAGGATTAGTGTTTTCTGATATAATGAAAGATCGGCCTGTTAGGTGTCTTTGCATCTCGCTAACTGGTATTCGCAATTCTGTTAACCTGCCAAACTAAACCCATAGCTGGATGACGGCCTGCCGGAGATGGTGGATTTCGCCAGATTTTACGGGTACCCTATTGAGCGAATACAAATTGCCGGCAGCTCCCAGCAAATATTTGTTCCGAAAGAGCGCTTCCGATACCGCTGTGCGCACAGACGTTTTCCAAACCCGATAATGCGGAGAGTTCTTTCAAACGTGGGAAAGAGGTTTTTTTTTGGATTCCCGTTTTACATGAAAATACCGGTATGATATTCTATTTCACTCTCTCTGATGCACCGCCCGCCACATTCCGCCCGGAATGGCATGCAACCAGCACAACAACAACAACCCCCGTTCCCGCTCAGAGAATGGGGGCTCTTTCCGGGTGTGGCAATCCTCCCTCTCTGTTAACTTGGTTTGAGCCAATTTACTCGCGCTTGTATCTGCACCGTGGGATTATTGCACATCCCTTTGGAGTTGAAATTCTCCAAGGAACAAGGGAAGAGCGAGACAGAGGTTTGTCATATCGGAGACTTTCTCAGGTTTAAGGCGAGATGATCTAAATGGTGATTGGTGGGCCCGGACCAGATATGATTTCGGTTTCATCACTTTCAAAGCGGTAGGGTTTGGGTGAGGTTTGTTGTGATACAATCAATCAACCAAGTCAATTAGAACCACAAGGTACTGGGGGGCCATGCAGAGTCGCACAGCACGCTCCTTTTGCTCTTATGTAGCGAAGCCCGGAGGGGGAAAGTGGAGAGAGTATGCTTATTCGTACTACCGGTATAACAGCACAGGAAGGTATTAATGTGGTTCACGGGAAATGGTGTTTCGGAAAGCTATCTTCCCTTGCCCCAAAAGCATAGTGAATTTTAAACCCTTAGTGCATCAATTCTGATCAATTGCCGTGCTGTAATTATTGTTAGGCTTCCGCTTTTGTATTTTTCACATTCGGTCAGCAAATTTTCGGCCCCACATAGAATTGAAATAGTAGATTGACCTTTGTTTGCTCCCATGCTTGTTGACCTCGACGGACGGGATCTTCTGCTGGGCATGGTGGAATAATCATGAAAGTATGACGCGGGGGTAGAGGGAAGGGCGAAGAAGCCATTTGCTTTCCTTCTTCCCTTCTCTCCCAGGGCCTTTTTGGAAACTTGGATCATCGAACACTGGCACCCGAGTTATAGACTCCTCAGTTGCTCAAGTGATCGACTGTGAATCTGAGCCGGGGGGGAGGAGGGGAGGGCTGCACCATGTGAGGAAATTCTACAGCTATATGGTTTTGGATTACAACGGCTTCCTTGCATGGCGGGATCGTTATGACCCGGATTATTATCATGCTCCATCGTGGTTGTAAGATCTTTCAGTGCTACCATAACTCCTAACGTAGCCGCCAGTGTTGCTCCTTCCTCTTTTCAGATTTACAATGGACTCTCTTTACTTCTTCCTTCTTTTTTCCTTCCTTTATTCTACAAACCCACTATCTTCCCGGATTTTTTTTGTTTCCGACCTCTTTTTTTCGGTTATGTTTCCGGAGATCCTTGTCAGCACTTGTAGATCCAATATCCGAATTTCCCGGGATGGTTGATCTATACCGTTCGTTGCCTTAGGACGGAGTAGAAGCATTCCCCCCCCCCTACCCCTGCTAGAGAAAACATTTAGACGGCAGGATGCCCGAACCTGGAAATAATCAACCTCAACGGCGACGACTATGTCCCCCCCTCCTAGCCCCACCACCACCACACTTCGCACAGTTTACAGGCTATCACTCTCAGCACAGAATAGTTGCAGTAGGGACGGGTTCGTTGGAAAATCCGGAGAATTCAATTGAGCAGTTGTATCATAAGAAGAACAAGGAGGCGGAGGGGAAGATTACGTAATTTCCTCCAAATTCATGCAACAAGTGCGGCGCTAAGTACCCTAGTATGATGCCAGCAGCAAATCCATCGGGCATCAACATCATCAGCATCATCCCGCAGATTTGCTATAGCATGATTCCCATCTCGATATGCCGACATATGCACCGTGCGCACATACAGTACTCGGACACTCTCATACATACAATTCATGCGGCGGGATTCCCGTCTTCAAGTGGGCGGCTTGGGCAGTCGTCCGTCAGTGGACTGTCTGGGGCGGTCTGGAAGGGATCTCGTTGAGCGTTTACATGCACCTCCCCCCACTCCCCCCCGTGCACCATCCCTACAGTGATAGCTGTGAAAGTGAACTACGGTGCTCACCTGCTGTGTGAAATGACAGGTGAAGGGACAAAAAGAAACGGAGTACACGAGTACATACATGACATCACTTTTTCTTTTTCTTTTCTTTTCCACTATTTTTCTTTTGGGGGTTTATTGAATTCATCAATGGACCCCTGCAATGCATAGAATGATGTACGGTAGTATGATAGTGGGCTTGTATGCTGACTTGGTAGGAGCGGGTGAGGAGACTCACTCTTCTCCATTGATCCACTACTCCACTACGTATGCAAACCCCGCTACAATAGATTTAGTTAGCTAGCTAACTCGCTGGACGAGAGTCATGACACATTAGACTAGCTATACGATGGGGAAGCCGTATACCATGCCACCACCACCACCATCCAGCTGGCCAGAGACAAAGGAAAGAGAGAGAAGACGAAAGAGAGTGGGCGATAAGAAAGAAGTAAAAATAAATAAATTACAATTGGGAAGCTCAAGGAAGCCTGGATAAATAAAAAGTGTGCAATGATCAAAAAACAAGTTTTAGGTGAGCTAGTTTGGTGAGTACCGTAGATACTTTACGAAGTGTGAAGAGTGAGAGAAAAAAGAAGGAAAGGCTGTTTCTAGCAATTCAGTCGAGCCACGTGTGTGTGGCTTTCAACTTTAGAATGGTCGGTGAACAATCTTTAACACCGCGGTCATTTGGCCATCTCTTCCCCAGGGGATTTGTCGAGGGTTGGATATAACACGATGGGTGTGATCTAGGACTTTTCTTTTTCTTTTTTTTTTCCTGTGAGGAGATACCGTGTGTCAGTTAACTTCCAAATACCCAGCAGGTATGGTCCACCGCGTACTCTCAGAAAAACAGAGGCAGCCGGGATAGTGGCGAGAGTAAAGGCAGGAGGTAGCCATCTCTTGGGGAGATATTAACCCCATCACAGGCCGGATCAAATTGGTGTCGGGGGAGTACTATACTGTACTATACCGCGTAGCGCTAATAAAATATGGGGAAATGGAGAATTGGGTGAAGAAAAATAAGGTACTTCCACATCCATCCCACGTTCCCCCACCCACTAAGAAAAAAAAGAAAAGTGATTGAGGAGGAAGAAAGGGACCCAACGCCGCATCCACTGCAACTGAGCGCGACGATAGGGTCTTTGGGGAAAAAGAAAGAGAAGTATTCCCCGCCATATCGTAATAGATGAAAAGAGGCGGGGAAAAGGAATCATCGTGCCCCGGGCGTAGGCTTTGGTGTTGGTGCCGAGCACTACGTTTAGATTCAATAGGTGAGCTTAGTGGCCCTCAATTCACTCGGGGGCTCACTCAATTCCACGATCACCGACACAACAACAGCAGAAAGACCAACATCCGTGAATTCTATAGATTCGCCCCGCCGGGGGCTTTTAGAAGAAAAAAGAGGGAGAGGGAGAAGAGAGAGAGAGCGCCTGCGGGGTGAGGAACATGTTTTCTTGGCCTCAAAATTGAGGTTTTAATTTACTGTACTTGTTTTAACTGTGATAGTGTACGGGCACTGTGCAGTACTGTACTGTACTCGAGCAGAGAATTGGACTTTTTCGGGAGTATTCCCGGTGCATGATACAAGTACTCTTGGCGACCGCTACCAATTTGCCACGCGCGGCATAGTCTATCGCATACTGTAAGTTGAGGGTGGAGTATTATTGATCGAAAACTTATCGGCAGGATCTTCTTGAGGGATAGAGAGGGAGTGTTAGTTCTCTTGGTGGAAACTTCATGGTTCGGGATACGGTATCCTTTGATGCCGCTCGCCGCAGGTACCATTCGGGTTGCCCTGTTAACACTTACGGTATTGAGGGGACGAGGGAGGAGACGGGAGGGAGAGGAAGCCGGATAAGGTTAGGGTGCCAGTTTGGATAGCGAGCAATTTAGTTAGTCAGTTGTCTACTCGAGTAGCCGGTTTACTTGTACCGGTACCGTATGTCACCTTGTAAAACAGCGCTAACGGGGAAGGAGATGGGATATACGGGGTTGGTATGGTGGCTAGGGAATGCGCATTGGGGGTGATGATTGCAGTGTTCCGTGGATCACAGCGCAGCTAACTTGTTGCCGTACGAGTAGACATTCCCTTTGGCTGACAAGCAAGGGGCGCCCGAGGGGGAGGCATATCGGGTAAGAGTCAGAACAACGAAGAGTGAATACTGTGCATATTAGCGTATTGGGAAACCCGGCCGACGGTGCTTGTATTGCTCTAGATGGATTTGGGACAACCTGAGCGGTTTCAAAGCTCGGCTTTTGTGCTCGGGATATTTCCGACGGGTAACACTTAAGGGGAGGGGGGGGGGTAGCAGTTTAAGTCAGTTCGGCCTTCACGGCCGCCGTATGCTTTTATAAGTGAAAGAGGGAGGGGGAACCCTGTAGGGTAAAAGAGGGCTCAACTCAATTCCAAAGTTCTCATACATTGGTCTACTATCAGGATTGATTTTTATTGGGGTTGCCTACACGAGGGGCTGCTTGTTGCAGTTTGGGTACTGTAGACTACGGTAGCTAACTAATTTACGGTAGACCGAGTAGATACTGTACGAGTGCAGGTAGATCGCAGGAGCCGCCGTAAGTTAATTTACGTGCACTCCTGCTGTATCATACATTAACCTGAGGCTCTAGGCGGACACAACTGGAGTGAGGTTTAGCTAGCTTTAGACTTGCACGGAGCCAGCTCGGGGGGGCGGAGACCTAGGTTGTGTTAATCTAAGTTAGGGACAAGGCTTGGCTACCTGGTCCTTCGGTCCCGCCTGGTCGAATTGTAAAAACCTCAGAATTCGACCTGGAATTGAGGGCTGCAAAGATACACCTCCACCACACTTTTGTGCCTCCATTAGAGTATGGTTTTGTGGTCATCCTTCACGAGCACAATCCTAACAAGAGAAGTTTCAAGTAATCTGGGAATTTGCTACTGTATGACCTCTTGAAAAGATGGAGTTCAAGAAACCCAACAGTTGGTAGGGATCTGATGGACTGTTGATGGGAGTGGCAACCCCTAGCAGCACTGTCAATAACTCCCACCTAGGTCTGGTAGCGCAAACTCTCTATTGAAAGGGGACAGGTTGTGTGGAAACAAACCCCGTAACTGACTACTCGATTGCTTGTATAGAACAAGGTGGGGCTAGCTGCTTTTGCGAGGAATAAAGATAAAGAAGATTCCACATTGCGACCTACTGCTCGGGTGCCGTAGTTCTGCCAGTATCGGTAAGCAAGCATATCCACGTTCTCTTCTATTGAGCCGGAAGGGGATTGCGATAGAGAAGGGGGTAGGGGGAATCGGGGGTGTATTGTAAGTAACGGGGACGAGGAAATAGGTACTTGCTCCCATTTACAGGTCTATTGGGGGGGATGTGAGCAACAATTCTTCGCAGAGTACAAAATAGGTTTTAGTCAGAAACAAGGCAGTCAAAGGTAGGCGGAAGGGGATAGAGGGAGAAAAGATCTCTGGGAAGAGACATGTCTTGCACCACCTGCGAGTACTGGTACGAGTACAGTGCTCTACGAGTATGGGTGGGTGGGGGGGGTTGTGTGTGTGCTGTACTCACACATTATTAGCCCGGATAACTTACCTTTTACTTTTACCTTTTTTTTTTTTTTTGACTGTATCTGGTACGAGTACAGTACTGTACTTGAGTATAGAATCTTGCTGAAAGTACTCGTATAGCATACCGGTGCGGTACAGTACCCTGCTACAGTGGTGATGGTGCAAATCTCGTCTTGATTAGCGAATGTGGATTAAGACCAAGCGCCCAGTGTGCAGGGGGTGAGACACTACTGTAATCCAAATGGATCATCTAGGTAAGTTACACTTCTGTATGAGAGTTATTGAGGGGGTGTTAGGCTTGTCAATCCGTGCTAAACTTTCCCACACTCTCACCTTCATTTCCTTTCTTCCATCATACCATCCACTCCACCCTTTTCCTACGCTTTCGCGATTTTCTCTGATACCAACGGGAGCGGCCTCTCGTCTGAAAGTATCGTACCAACCTAGTGATGTGCCTTAGCTATGAGTACTCGAGTAGCTCTAGAGGTCGGAGGGACTCGCTATCCAGTTGCCACCTTCAATAACCAAGTGCGTGGCACGTTTTCATCAACTGCCATATAAATGGTCTTGTTCTTTCCCATTTATCTTTGCCTCGCCTCTCTCCATTTCTATGCTTTCTTCCCTTTGGGTATGTGCCCACCAATACCGACCATATTATGGGTCACATCCGCCTCTAGGGTATACCATGGCCCTTAATACCTGGCTCCATCCTCTTCCTCACCTTCGCCCAGTCAACTACTATCCCACCACACAAAGGTCACTTGACCTGCCTCTTCCTTCAGAGTCTTATAAGGATCTCATCGCCCGCTCATCATACATTACGTTCCCCGAGTCGAGAGTCTTCAATTGAGATATCTTAGCACCCTTCTCCCTCGCTATATACCATTTATCACTACGACCCACGACCCACGACCTACTACCTACTCGACCAGACTCCAATTACATCTCTATTTACACCTTCCTCTCTTGTTTCCTCGCTCCCGCATCGTCGCGATGGCTACACCAATAGCACCCTACCCACCAACCGGAATCCATGTCGTAATAGTAGGAGCGGGTTTTGGTGGATTGGCAGCGAGTATCGAGGCCAGGCTGAAGGGGCACACGGTGTCGGTGTTAGAACGATCCCCGAGGTGGGAACAGCATGGCGATATCATTAGTATAAGTGGGTTCAAACCCTCTACCCCTCTTGCTGCCTCTCATCTTTAACTCCACGAAACAAAGGGAAGAAGAGGAAAGCGGAAGTAATCCTAATTTGATGCCGGTCTGCGGATGAACAGGTCAAAATGCCGGAAGAGTTCTCTCTCGCTGGGACCCAGCCTGGATCGGTGACAAGCTGCGCAAAATCTGCATGAACCACAAATCCTTCATGATCCATACGCACAAGGGCGAATTCATCTTTGAACAACCCGTCGTGGCCCCGGACCCCGAGCGACCGACGTACAACGGGCACCGAGCAGACATTCACAGGGTTTTCTTCGACTACGCCGAGCACCTGGGCGTGCGCTTCCATATGGGGAGGCGAGTAACGGCGTATAAGGAGGATCCCAAGCTGGGCAAGGCGTGGGTCGAATGCGCAGATGGCGAGACCTTCATCGGAGACGTGGTTATCGGCGCTGACGGCGTCAGGAGCAGAGCTAGGAGGTTGGCGCTCGGCCTGGATGACAGGGTCAAGCCGACTGGCTATTCTGTATATCGTGCTTGGTTCAATGCCGAGGAGCATGGGATCCTGGATGACCCGCTTACTCGGGAATTCGCGGAGCGGGGAGACACGCATACTGGTTGGCTAGGACCCGATGTCCATTTGCTTGTGGCTACGTGTAAGGGAGGGCGAGAGCTATCGTGGGTTTGCACGCATAAGGTATGGTTTTCCTCCGGAGGAGCAGAATTCCTTTCTCCGGTAGCTGTTATGCATGGGGTGTGTTGTATGCGGGTGGCGGGGCTGACGGTGAAACGGTTAGGACGACGAAGACATCGACGAGTCATGGTCCTATCCCGGACGTGTGGAAGACGTTCTAAAACTCCTGGAAGACTGGGACCCAAGATGCAGGGCAATCGTAAGCACACATACATAAAATCACATGTTGCCTCCCCGCGCATCCAAACTAACCACCGATCCGCAATAGGTTGCCAAAACCCCCTCATTGGTCGACTGGAAATTAGTCCATCGGGCACCCCTTCCAACCTGGATCACCCCGGGGGGTCACATATGCCTGATTGGGGATGCCGCTCACCCATTTTTGCCCACTTCCATACAGGGCTGTTCTCAGGCGATTGAGGACGGTGTAGCCCTGGCCACGCTCCTCTCCCTGACCCACACGGATAAGCAAGTCCCCGACGCGCAGAAGATCCCCTCGGCCCTCAAGATGTACGAGCGACTGCGCTACGACCGTGTCAAGTCCGCGCAGAAGAAGGGAGAGGAGGTGCGCGACATGTGGCACAAGGCGAACTGGACGGAGGTCAGGTCGAACCCGGGCAGCATCAAACTGCCGCGCGAGGACTGGCTGCTCAAACACGACTGTGAAAGGTTCATGCGGAACATGTACAGGAGGGCGCTCGCGGAGCTTGGTGGTGGGGATAAGATTCCGATTACCAGCCTTGCGGCGAGTCGCGAGAGCGATGAGTTCCTGGTGGAGATGCCGCCTACGCCCGTCGCGACTCCCAAACGCGAGGTTGAGGATCCGATGAACGGGCACCGGTAGTTGAATGGATCACGACCACAACACAACAACCACGACAACGGCGACAACCAGGAAAAAAGAGAAGGCGCATTTTCATCATGGCTTGGGACGCACCCTTAGAATTCATTTTCCTCACTCCTATCCATTTACACTCCATTATCTCTTTACTTGTCTTTGCATTTCTTCGCATTCCTCTCCTGGCTTTTCTTGCGTTGCGCCGTCCTAACGATAGTCTGACATTCTTCCCTGACAAGAAAAAGGTCCAGCCTGGCCTGGCCTTGCCTTGCCTTGTCTTTACAATTTTCTCTTTTTCCTTTTTTTAGAAACGTTCTCCTTACTAGAATAGATGGCACCGGATGGCTATTGGTGGGGGCTGGGGCGGAAAAAATCATACGGTAGACGGATGAACATATACGGTATTAGATTAGAATCGGAACTGGGAAAACCTGGGATTTGGCGTTTTTCATATTCATCCCTAGAATTATCATACAAAAGCCGGTACTCCTGTAGATTAGTTGGCGAGTTTGTTTTGCACTTCTTTTTCCCTTTTTTTATTTTATTTTCACGTGGGACCTTTGTTGTTTTTCTTAGATGGGTATTTGTTTCGTGTGTGTTTTTTTTTATATTTTTTTTACGGCTTATACACTCCTTGATTTGTTCTTCCTCTAGTTCGCTCCCGTTCTCGTTCAGGAGCCGGTCCGCGGCGGTGCGGTCTAGGGTCATATCTTGGATGATTGAAGTGGAACGTATGGAATGCACTGTTGTGGTACGGAATGACTGCCGTACCTGTGTTTTTTTAGAAGTGGGAGATATCGTTATCAAAAAATTGAAAACTTCGTGGTTGTTGTATTGTATGGTGCGTGGGTTTACATACGGACGGTACATGGAACCGAAAAGGGATCGTTTGAAGTTATCCGGTAAGCCGCCGCTGTTAGTAAGGCGGGCGGGAAGGGAGGGGAAAAAAAAGCTTATGTCTGCGGCAAGGTAGGATGGTACTAGTGCAGTACTCGTACGGTGGAGCACACTTTCCAACTTGGCAGAGGCGTGATTCTTGCCTTTTTTGATATTTTTTAGAAAGTTGCTACTTTCAACCAGATAGTTGACTGTTCTTAGTCAACTGGTTAAAATTTCCTTTTCTTACTCCTCTTAGAGGAGCACAATAGACAATCTTCTCGTCCGGGGAAGCCGCCCTTCCTATCTAAGAGGTGCCTGGCAAGGGAGTAAGTTAAGTTGATATCTGAGCAGGCTCACAGGAGATCACTAACTAGTTTTGAAGCATGTAAAAATTGGACAGTAGAGGATTCTAATTTAGTATCTGAGGTGATAAGAACTCAGTCCAGAGAAGTCATGGAACAGGTTAAAAATAGGTATTTAGATCTGCTCATAATGAACAGCCTCCTGACTATGTAAGGGGAATTGAAAAGACGAATGGTAACTTCTAAATAGTCAGAGATTATTTCCAGGAAGGGGATTAGGAACAGAGACCAATATAGGCTGTTGTTGAGGCAAAGAGCTGGTATATCAGGGACCTTATTGTATCTTGCTTGCAGCCGATGGCCTGAACTTGACTCCCTTAACACGCCGGCATATGGTGCCGTGCGGGAATGATGCTCGTTCGCGAGGGTTAGTAATTTAGCTACCGTACTGTACCTAGGATATAGCATATGTTTCGTAAAGCGCATCGGGGCCCTTTTTTTTCTCTGTATTAACGACTGTGCTACACGGTACTGTACTGTAGTCATATAAACCCCTCCCCAGGCTTACCGACACCCTGATTTACACTCTATGGCAGTTTCCAGTACTGTAGCGCGCCTCCCCCACATCCTACCCACTTTTCTGTGGTACTGCACAGTGCTGCACTGAACCCAGCCCATTGTGAAACGATAGAATATATTTCACCGCACGTGGAAGTTATGACAATACAGGTAGAAAATTTAAATGCCGAAGTACTGTATAGTACTGTCATCTCCTATCCTGCACCTAAATGTGTTCAGCACAGCGCATTACGACCAATCGAACACTTGCGCGAGCTAAGGGCAGGGGAGAGGGGAGGAGGAAGAGGAGGAGGAACGAGGCGAGCTGGAATCTAAAGCCACAAGCAAGAAACTCGGCAAAAGTCGTTTGTGAGGTAGGGGAGCTATAGGGGATTAATCAATCCAGTGTCTGCCTGCTTGCGTGCGGCGCTCGTAGTCTAACCGCCTATCTTTTTTCTTGATGTGCATGAGTTGAAACAATCTCAAGTTAAATCATTGCTTTGATGAGGGTAAAATTTTTACGTACTGACGTAGAGCACTTATTATACGTATCTCTGCCCCCTTGGAACAGCTAGTCTTAAGCGCCCATCATGTTATCGCGAGACTGTTGCGAGGACTTGATTGCTTGCTTTCCCGAACGGCAGAATTGACGTTCGGCGCCGCTACTGTGGTTCTGTTTGGAAGCGTCGTTTATGGGTGCCTTACCGTTGCGGTGTCCTATCGTGCTGACAGTGGAATTTCTTCCAAGGTGGTGCCTGTTCAGCTGGAGAGATTGGGTTCTCATGCTCTGATGGGCCTTCGTGCTTGGGTCGTACTTTCACCGTGATCATTTTCGGACCTTAGTGGAGTACGGTACTGTACCCTACAGTACTGCCTTGGTCGCTGCACATTTTCTTTTCTGTGCGTTTTACACCTTCCATGGATTTCCAGATTGCGGTTTTTTTTTCCTTTTTTTTTGGATATGGTACATTGCTTGGCTTTTGACCGAGTATAGTCGACCGCTGCAAGGAGTGGGAACTTTTGTTGCGCGTCGCCCCGCCCCATGAATTAACTAGAATGGAATTTAGCTATTGAGTTACATATGGTAAATGAGTCTCCATGGGTCCTCCTGATTTCGGCCCTGTAGGGCTTAAATTGTTGTTGGGTATGACAACTTTGTGCTCAGTATGTAAGCTCGAGACCTCATTGGAATTGGATTTCTACCTCTGCCGGCATGTTTAATAGGCTGTACTGTGTAACGAGAATTGTCAAGGCTGGAAAGTGCCGGAAGAACACTCCAGAAAAATCCATCTCGTCGGGTTCGACTGCCGGATCGTCGCGTTTGGCTGAACTTCGACGCAAGTGCCGCCTCACCGCGGTTATTCGGCCTTTCATGACTTGCGGGAAGAATCCGTATTCTGCTATGGATCCGTGAATTTATCTCATACCTGAGAAGCGGAAACGATGAGCTATCTAGGTTACGGCTAATGCTCGAGAGGCTCGTGATACTCTTCGCTCATAGTGCCGCACTGTACTGTATGGTACTGTACCTGTGGATGCGTTGCTGGTCTACGGATTACTCACAATGGAGCATGTGTCTCGAAGATTGGGAAACATGGGAGTGGAGGACGGTATGAGGGGCGGAAATACTATTGAAGTGAGAAGGGATATAATCCCGGAGACCTGGTCCGAACTCCCTAGAAGTGGGTGTATAGTATTGATAGGGAGTTCTAGAAAATTCTTTGTGAGTTAGACCAACTTGGACAAGCAAGCGACCGACATCCCAAAGAACCCCGATTGATGGGTCGAGCCTTAATCCATTTGGCGGTGAGCAGGCTGCAGTAATGGACGAAGAACCTGGGACGTTTTTTTTTTTTTTTGCTCCACATTACAGCAAGGCGCCGCCAGTCTGGGGTAGATTCTAGACCTAACTACGTATTACACTTATCCTTGATTTGGATAAATTTGTGTCGTGCGTATCTGTCACGCGACGGATGCAACATCATAATATAATATTGTGTGAAGATTTTCGCCATCTGTTCAGTCGATTCTGGTTCGCACTGTGCTCATGCTACTTTATCGGCGATAGTGGTCTTTGGTTAATTAATCCATGCTGAAAGAGGGATTTGGAATCGCCAACGGAGTTTGCCCTGCCTCCGAGTTCCCTTGCCTCGTGGCTATTAGTTGATAATGGCTGGGCGGGAGAATAAGGTTGATATGATGCTCCTGAGAATCCCGAGAGTGCCGAGATGAGTATTTTTTGCTGAGCCGTGGAAATAGTGCCTCTCCCGGTATATCCCTGAGTGAGATCAATAATTGTTTAGGAGTACTTGGGAATCCCGGCTTGATGAGTAAAGGAAGGGGAAGGGATAAGAGAGAAAGCACTTGGCGAGGGCTCTAACCACCAAGCGCTGTTTCTGGCGTATGTGTAGCTAGTTGAGGGCTCCGAGCATTAAAACTACCCCTAACTTATCGAAAATATTTTCTGCCAAGTGCAAGTGTGGTTGGCCCTGCAAGTCCTGTTAACTTTATATACCCGAAGAACAGAAGTAAACTATCCCCCTGCCAATATAGCAAAGTAATGAGGAAGGGATATAAATTAATTACTATAGGGAAACACATGGTTCTCGGTGATAGCCCTCTTTTTTTTTTTGGCTAATTCCTGCTGATAATCCGTCATTGTGCCCTTGGGGCAAAGCGCTCTGAACAACGAGTTCTCGAAAGGCTGTCATGTCAGGAGCCTGCCGTGCATGACCCGTCAAATCCTCGACATGATGCTTGAGCTTTATGCCCGATTTTCCACGGCTATGCCCTGACATTTGGCATATTCCTGTAGGGTGGCGTTTGTGTTACAATTGTTGTCATGCACTCAGAACTTTACTATGGCTCAGTAAATAAGTTAAGAGTTGACGAACGCCCTATAACGCTCCGTAACATGGTAGAGGCTCTCTCATAGAAGTTATTAGCATAGCCCTAGTCTACCAGGAATCGATGAAAGTTGAGATATTTCGCCCCCCGGAGGGGTCACGGGGTTTGCGGCAAAATAAGGCTTTGATTTTTTTATCGGGCCTCATCCTATGGCGCCTGCCATGCACTCGTCGAACGGGCTTGAGGGGCAGAGGGCTGGTTTTCTTGAGCATAGCATACAAGAGCTGTGACAGGCATGATATAGGTCTCAAACGGCTTGGGTTCGACTTCGGGGTGGGAACTAGTACCTTGCATAGGCTGTAGTGAGCTGGCATTGATGGGCGAGGGTTTCTAAAGTATATCTCTTCTTTCATCTTCAAGCCATAGGCAATGTCAAGGGGGGATATAGTTGGATATTCCACTTAACTGATATTCTGCTATTTAGCCGAGTCAGCTCTATAAGGTGTTGGGGAGGGGGTTTCGTTCATATGGTGGTCATAGGCCGGTCCAACTCAATCACGCCCTCGACCTTTTCAGCTATCCATGAATCGGTTACGTTCCTGTTTGTAAATGTTAGGTTCTTTCAAGGGTATACTATACTGAGTCTAGTCAGGAAACAGGTAGACAGCCGAATGAGGTAAAAATTGCTCTATGCCCTGCATTTCAAGTGAGACAAAAGACTTTTGGGGAGCCTATCTCGTTGTACTATTGAATTTTCTTGGTATTATATATCCTGGCCATAGGTTACCAGTCCGGATCGGAAGCTACCCCACAATCCTGGGGAAATCATCCGCATGCCGTAGCCCACTTGGCATGACTCGTTCCATAACAATATCTTTTTCATCCATATTTCGCTAACGATGGAAGAATTTCGGGGCAGCAGGTCTAGACCGAGGTCTGGCGAACAGGGGAGGGCAGCTATGCCGTATTGGTATTTGGGTGCGAGTGCGGTATCAGTCCCGTACGACAGTTCTCAGTTCTCAGTTATTTTATGGTATCGCTGTATCAAACAAACGCTATTTTCTTGAGAGTCTTTAAATTACCTCTCTGGGTATCCTGGGGATTGCGTTGGAAAATGCTCACGGGGTTAATGCAAGCAGGATTCATTACAAGGATCTCCCGTGGAGCACCGAGCTGAGGGTCAGATATGCGTAACTAAAATCACTCCTGCCGGTCACCTTATTCCCTCTCGTGATACCGGGGACTACACATTCTGCGGAGCCAACAAAAAACTTCCTAATTGGTAGAGCCTAAAATCTGCTTAATTTGAAGAAAGATATTCTATAGGCCTACTTTACGTCCCGGAGAGGCTGCGGGTTATGAGTAAGAGGGCGATATATTGCGGCCTAAGAGCGGGTTTTTTTTCTTCTTCTCCTGAAGCTTGGATGAAACTTTTTGCTTCGAGAAATTTGGATCCTTTCCAAGTGGACATAGCCTGATAAGTTGATTTATACAGCGGGAAGCTAGACACTGATACTCAAATCCTGCAGGTTTAGTCAACGAAACAAGGATATGGGCTTCGTTTGGATAAAAGGCAGTGAATATGGGGGGTGAAGCTTTGTTCATTTAGGAAGATACCAGTGAGACATTAGACCTACCAACAATAAGAGGCTTAAATTCACCCTACTTGTTAGACGTCAGACTCAGAGCAATGGAAGGCTGGGTCAAGTAGGTTAAAATTGGTAAGGGAAGTGGAGCTAGTAGTTATGTAGAGTGTAAAGGTGTAAAACTGGACAAGTGGGGGATAAAGGACATGGCTGGATGGCTTGGCCGAAGGGAGGGCGGAAACGGAGAGAGAACGAACAGAAAGAGGGAAGGAGGGAGAACTCCTACCATTCAGCTTTCTAGAGGAAGTTGGGGATGATGGATTTGAAGGAAGGGGTATCCAAGGTGACTCCAACTATAACAGCACTA